ATTTCAGTCTTTTACCTAAAATGACAAAAATAAATAAATAAATAAATAAATAAACCTTATCTCTACTCTCTCTCTCTCTCTCTCCCCCGTCAAACCTGAAGCCATCATTCTCCTTCCCCTCTTCTCACTCTGGCAATCCTCCGATAGCCCTCTGTCGGACCTCATCATCATCAAAGAAGAGAAACAGGGAGGTGTGTTTGGTTGTGTGTTCTTTGATGTTTTTGTTTCATCGTTTGAGGTACACCAAACTGAAGATGAATATGGGTTGATGTCTCGGTTTATTTTGAAGACGAAGACACTACGATTTCAGGGTTTTTGAAGACAAAATTTGGGTCTTATTGAAGACGACTTCTGGGCTTTTGAAAAACAATTTTTGGGTTTTTTAGTCATTGAATTTACTTTCAGCACAAATTTATGGGTCTAAGCTTCGATTTCATTTATAGGGCTTTTTAAGACAAAATATTGGTCTTTTGAAGACGATTTTTAGGTTTTTGAAGACAATTCCTAGGTTTTTTTAAAGTCATCGAGTTTACTTCTGCTCCGATTTCACAGGTTTAAGCTTCGATTTCATCAAATTTTATTCCTTCAAGAAGTTTGAAGTATTTCCTTTTGATTATTAAGTCATCATTTTGGGAATTTTTTATGATTTTTCTAGGTTGTGGACTGTTGTAGTCTTGAATCGGATTTTGGTTTGGTTCGGGTCGTGGAGAAGCTGGGAGATGGGTGGTGGTTGGCAGTAAGTGGATGGTGGAAAGGGTAATTCTTCAAAAACAAGAACATATAATCTGACTTTCTTCAAGAACAAGAACATGAAGAAATGGAAATTGAAATCATTGGTACATAACCTTGGCTAGAATTTTGATTTTGACAGTCTTCTGTTTTTTTCATATGCATTTTGAATCTAGTTTTTGATTTTTTTTTATTTTGAATCATGGACTTCAGCTTTGTAATTGAATCCTTGAATGCTTTGTAATTGAATCCTTGAATTGGTATATAATTCCTGAGTTTGATTTTATCGGTCTGAATGGGTTTCATTCCTGAGTTGTGGGTTTGATTATGTGATTTCTAGGTTTGATTCCAATTACCAGTTAATTTGGTGTTTTTCCTATGGATTTTATTACGTGATTTCTGGATTTTATTATGTCATTCTAAAATGAACGAGTTAGGGTATGTGATCGTGCAGAGAAACAGGAACAAGATTTGTTGCCTTCGCTATAAGGGTGGTGTGTTAGTTTTAAATTAGTGTGTATTTTTAAAATAATTATAATTATAAAAATAAGGGTAGTTATGTCATTTTCCTATGGTCAAACTATAGAAACGTAACACCATTAACGGTAGGGACCAAATGCGCAACTTTTAAACATACGAGGGACGATCCGAGTTAATTTCTAAAAATAGGGACTAAACACGCTTTCTGACATATGCACGAGGGATGATTGGTGTAATTTACCCTTTTTATTATTATAAGTAATATGTTTAAACTCCTAAAACCGTTTGAAATATAAATTGCGGTTAAAAACCACACCAATTTCATGTGGTTAATAACCGAACACAAAAAAATAAAACTGCACCACAAAAATAACCGCCTAACCGCACCGTAAAAATAACCGCACCAAGCGATTTTGAAAAATGGATTAACCGCATTTGCGGTTAGTGGTGAGGTTTTAGCCAATAACCGCACCGCGCTCACCCCTATAAAGTATGTGCTTGTGATATGTATATATATATATATATATATATATATATATATATATATTCCAGTTCCGACATGTACCTAGCAGGTACCCAGCGGATAGTAGTTCCGTAAAAATAAGAACCGAAACCGAAACCGTTGTTCCGGTTCCGAAAGCGGATAGCCGGATACCTAATTCTGTTGCTCATCCCTATTATCACGGACAGTTGAATCCATTCGGTATCAGGAAACCCGAGAAATGGACTTAATAAGGTAATTAACTTTTCGGTTTGTTCACATCTGGGTAACTATCTTTTTTTTGTACACATCTAGGTAACGAACTTTTTGAAAGTGTTCACATATGACCATTATGACCGGCTGTAGCAGGTTACAACCGGTCATAATGATCATATGTGAACACTTCCAAAAAGCTCGTTACCTAGATGTGTACAAAAAAAGATAGTTACCTAGATGTGAACAAACAGAAACGTAAGAGTAAATTACATGAATGGTCCCTGTAGGTTGGATAATTTATGCGTTTGGTCCCTAACTTACTTTTTAACTCGGATGATATCTACTGTTTATTTTTGTTGTGGTAAATTACACCAATCGTCCCTTGCACACATGCCAGAAAGTGTGTTTAGTCCCTATTTTCAAAAATTAACTCGGATAGTCCCTTATGTCGTTAAAAGTTGCACGCTTCATCCCTTGTTAGTTTAACTTTGCATGTTTTATCCCTTGTGAGACATGAAAGGACTATAATGCCCTTTTTATTTTCTTTTTCATTTATTTTTATCAATTTCAATTATTTTTAGTTATTAAAAAGTATTATAATTATTTTTCTATGTTTCTAAAGAATACTTGACCACCACCACCATCGGTAATCCCCATCACCACCACCGGTAATCTATGCCATCGCCGGAAAATGGAGCACCGCTGCCACCCCTCAACTTACCCCACCCACTCCCCGGTTCAAAGCTCGTCTTTTCCATTGAAAATAACCACCAACCACCACCTCAATCAATCTTTCATTCACTTTTTGTAAAGCTTCGGTGACCTCCACAACAACATCGACAGAAGTCTGACTAAGCTCCAGTTTAATCTTCTCAAGCTTTTCAAGAACTTGTTTTACTTCCTGCGTTTCCTCCGACGAAGGATCCAAACAGAAGTGTCGATCTAAACGGTAAGGAGAAGGTTAGGGAGGAGTGCAAATCTACTATACGCAAACCAGAGTGAAGATCTGCTACCCTCTCATTGGAAAAAATGAGAGGCGGCTAGGGTTTGGTGCGCATATGCATATCTTCTTGGAGCTTTCTTCACCATCACTTGTTATGAGCCGCCCGCACCTATATATTTGTGTAGAAACCCTAACATCGCCGTATGAAACCCTAAATGTAGATCTGGGTTTGAGTTTCAGACCTAAATGTAGAGAAGGAGAGGACGTGGTTTCTGATGTTCGAATTTCTGATTTGGGTTTGAGTTTCAGATTTAAATGTAGATTTGAATCGGTTCGAGATTCATGAGGGGTTTGATTTTCAGATTACAAGGCAGGTTTTGGGTTGAATATTTGATGTTTGACAGTGAGGTATGGTTTATCAATGGTGGAGATTGACAATAATTGGAGGTGGTGGATATTAACTGTAATTGTTTGTGGTTTCTGGAGGGTATTTGAGATTAGCGATGGTGATATGAAAGAGGGGAAAACAAAAGATTTTTGGCTAGTTAGTTTCGCCGGAGAAAGGAGGAGGATGGGCAGTTTCCGGTGGTATTCGGTGGTGGTAGACAGTGGTTCTGGTGGTGCTGATTCTAGGAAAGATAGAAGGAAAATGGAAAGAGAATGGGAGGGGAGGGGTGGGGATATTTTATTTTTTTTATTTTTTTATAATCTAAAACTGATAAATGAATAAAATAAAATGAAAAATGAAATTACTAAGGGTAAAATCGTCATTTCATGTCAATAGGGAAGACATGTGGAAGATATAGTAGATAACCTATTAACCCATGTTAAAATCCTGACACTACTCAGCCATTGTGGCCATCGAGGTTCGCCTGCAGTGACTCCAGGGCATGAGGCAAAGCCTCATGTTTGCAGCGGGGGATTAGTCAGTGCGCGAAAGCTGGCCCGGAAACTCTCGTTAGGGAAGTTCCCTTTCCAAAAAAATGCAAGAAAAAACAAACCCAGGGACGGTCCGAATTAATTTTTGAAAATAGGGACTAAACATGCTTTCTAGCATGTGCACGAGGGAACAATGGTGTAATTTACCCTTTTTGTCATGTGTTTGGTCCATGTCTTACCTCAAAAGATTATTGAGCCATTTTTAGTTTTTTTAATTTTTTTCTAATTTATGTATTTAATTTTTATATATTTAAAAAAAATAGATTCTTCATATCTGCATCTCCTCACCCTAAACCTGAAACCATATTGAGAAATTTAAGTTCATCTTCAACTTGAATTTCCTTTCCATCTTTAGTGATATTAACGTCTTCATCATCCCTTAATTTTCGATCCTTCAACTCCGACGAACCAACAACACAACTCACTATCTCTTGATTGAATTTTCCACCACCACAACCCAATAGAAGGGTTGTGGTGTTGGTTCGCCGGAGTTGAAAAACCAAAAAAGAAGGGATAGTGAAGATGTTGATGTCATTAAAGATGGAAAGAAAAAGAAGTTGAGGAGGATGACATATGAAATAGTGACCAGTGGGACGAACTTAAATTTCTCGAATGTGATTTCAGGTTTGAGTGAGGAGATACAAATATGTGGGATCTTATTTTTTTTAAAAATATAAAAAATAAATACATAAATAAGAAAATTAATTAAAAAATGGCACAATAGTCTTTTGAAGTAATACAATGACCAAACGCACAACAAAAATAAACAATAGGGATCATCCAAGCTAAAAACTAATTTAGGGACCAAATGCATAAATTACCCAAACTATAGGGGACCATTCGTGTAATAACGAGTTTTTTGGAAGTGTTTATATATGATCATTATGAAGTGTTCATATATAACCATTATGACCGGATGTAACCTGCTATAACCGATCATAATGGTCATATGTGAACACTTTCAAAAAATTCATTACCTAGATACGTATGAAAAAAAAAAATTATCCATATGTAAACAAACCGAAAAATTAACTACCTTATTAAATCCATTTCCCAGTAAACCCCCAAATTCACGTATTTACTACTAAAGTGGTGCAATTTCTAGTTGTACTCCAACATTAGATGTGGGTGCAATTTCTAGTTGTACTCCAACATTAGATGTGATCTTGTTAGACTGATACACCTCCTTATCAGATTCAATATTCATCTCACATAATTTAATACGTTGTATACCATCTCTCCATTAATCGAATCAAAACCAATATTAATCTCCCCAATACCAATAAAATGTTGTCTCATCATTGCTACTTATTTACTTACAAAACCTTGTCATCCATTAGCGTCACCTCCAATAGAAGAATTAGGATATTACTAATCATGGTTGCAGTTGACCCATTCTAATTGACTTGCCAAACAACCATTTTACGTATCCCTTTTTCAAATTTAGTACTAATTTTATATTGAATTCAATTTCTGCATAAATAACGTTATAGACTACAAATTTAAGCCTCACAGAAGCCACTCACATGCCAAAAATGTTCTTTCAAGGTCTTATTTCATTACCAGTTTCCCTAAAGCACTTAACCACAAACACACAATCTATGAAAGAACAGCCATGACATCTGATGCCCTTAGAGCAATGTACTCTGAACCATCACTCCCTTTGAAATCATTCCCCACATACTTCGAGTACAAAACAGTGTTCCCTAGAGACACCGTCAGCTCTTTTCTTTTCCCTTCCTCATCCAACGGACCCGGCCCCACCGCAATCACCTACACACCCAACACAAAAAGACAATATTACCCCTCACAAGAGCTCAAAACTTTATTTAAAAGACTAGCTGCTAGCTGAAAAACTAACTGATAAAAATTGATGTTTGTACCGACTACTGTTAACCTAATTTACATATCACATGATAATAATAGTACGGTGGATCAGCTCAGGGGTTGTTGGAAGAATAACACTTACAGTGCCAATGGAGGGTTTCTCTTTGCTTGCTTGTGTGAGCAACAAGCCACCAGCTGTAGTTAGCTCCGCCTCTGTGACCTATCCAACGAGAATTTCAAACATTTGAGATGAAATTTTATTTACCATTTTACCCTTTTGTACATAAATAAAATAAGAAAAGTAAACCTTGATTAGGACTCTGTCATTAAGAGGCTTCAAATCCTTGACGTCATCTGTCTCAAGTATACCAACAATATCATCTTCCTTTAGTAACAGATGGTTTGTCCCATTGAACTCAACCTCTGTTCCAGCATACTTGGAATACACAACTGGTGTTCCAGTCTGAAATATGAATGATAATTTTTTGTGTATATGATCAAATTTCCATTTACCAAATTACCCCTTAGATATACAAGTAAATAGTGCTTCAAATGATGAAAAATTACCTTTACACTTATGTCCACCTTGTTTTGGCCAACTGTCCTGCCTTCTCCTACAGCAACTACTTCGCCTCCTTGAGGTTTTGTTTGAGCTGTTGAAGGGAGTAAAATACCACCTGCAGACTTCTCTTCTGCTGCCTTGATTTTAATCAATACTCTGTCACCCAATGGCTTCAATGTAGTGTACTACAAGATGAAAATGGAGGTTAGCAGGATGAAAGAACGGGTGAATATATGAAAACCAACTTTCTATCATAACGAAACCTACAAACTGTCTATAATGAGAAAGATTTGAAAGTAAGAATAAGAGATCATTTATATCTCTGCAAGCTGAAACTTGAGAGAAAATTCAAGAAAGAAATCAAGAAGTCGGTTGTAGAAAATGGAGATAAGACCTTGAATCAAAAAGAAAACCATGAATGCTCAATTGAGAGAGAATCAAAGATTTGTGGTTGAATAATCTTATTTATCACCTTAACGAGCTAACTAATCACTGAAACAAAAGGAATAATATAGTTGCTGCTAACGCATAACGATAAAACGTTGATTGAAAAGGCCATACAGAATCCAATAAACGAAATTAAACTTCGAATATCAATGGGACTCACTTGAAAATTGAAGCAAAATGAAGCAAAAATCAGGTAATTTATAGGCATTAATGCGTAGAATTTAGCAACGATGAGATGATTAACCTTAGGAGCGACAGTAGTGGCAGCTTTGACAACGAGTCCACGGGTTGATCTGAGAGTTAAACCACCACCCATTCTAAAGGACGCGGATGAAACCTTGATTGTTGACGACTTAAGACCTTCAAATGATGGTAGAAAAACGCTTGAAGATGCGGCGGCGGTCATCTGAGCAGCTGCCATTTCCTGAATTCAAACCCACAAACGGAAATTAGTCTAACGTAAGATAAGGTAGCACTACCCAAATTTACTCCCTCTGTTTCAATTCACTCTCATCTTTTGAAATCAAACTGGAGTGTCGTTGTTATTAAGATTAAACGAGGAAATCGAAGTGCATTGTCTTAGTAGACGCTTAAATCAAAAGTAAAGTAGAAAGTTAAGCAATTACCAAATGGAGCGGAGAAATTTAGTTGGTAGGTAGCAAAATGGAGATGAAGAGGATAACGAAACCCTAGAGATGAAAGATGGTTTATTATAGTAGCAGATAAAGACGCTTCCAGAAGCTTTTGTATATTTCTCTTTCCGTCCACTTTGTTGTAATAATCCTTAGAAAAAAAAATATGAATTTTAATTACGAAAAAATAGTTTTTATTTTTTGTTTTTTTTTTTCTTAGTTTTTGTGTTCCGTTTTTATTTTTCTTTGGAAAATGTATAAAATTTATTCATTTTTCATTTTCAGTTTTAGAAAATTAGAAAATGTGTTAAGATGTATATTTTTCTATCGGTTTTCATTTTTAGAAAACAGTAGCGGCGGCAATTGTAGCAGTTGTGGTGATAGTGGCGGTAGTAGTTGTGGTGGTGATGGGGTAATGGTGGTGGTGACTATGATGGTTGGTCGGTGATTGTGGTAGTGGTGTTGGGTGGGTAGGTGTGTCTATATGTGTTTGTGGGTGTGGGCGTAGGTGTGTGTTTGTGGGGGTGGGTGCGGATGTGTATGTAGGTGTGTGTGTTTGTGTGTGTATGTGTTTGTGGGATTATGGGTGGGGATGGGTGTGTATGTGTGTGGATAGGTATAGTTGGATGGGGGTGGGAGAGGGTGTATGTTTATATTTTAGAAAAAATTTCAAATTAGAAAAAATATGGAAAACAATGATTATGGGCTTTTCAATAATTTCCAACTTCCTTGTAATTTTAGAACATAAAAATTTTTCATTTTCCGTGAAAAATTTAGAAAAATATACGAACTAAACACGTTTTCAAAATTCTCATTTTTCTTGAAAAAAATTCCGAAAAATAGCCAATTTTTCCGCAACTAACCGCAACCTAAATAATTGAGAGGTCTTTCCTTTTGATTTTTAAAAATTAAAGTAAATTACACAAATCGTCTCTTGTGCAAGTGTCAAAATGCACATTCAATCCTTATTTTCAAAAATTAATTCGGATCTCCATTGTTAGTTTAAATCTTACACGTTTCATCTTTCCGGATATAAAAGACCATTTTTCCTTTATTTATTTCTTTTTGATTTATTTATTATTTATTAATGATCAATCTGTTAAAAAAATGAATTTAAAGACCGTTCCATTTCATGGTGGGGAGTTGGGTACCATTTCTAGAGGGCAAGGAAGAAACACTCAGGTCTAGGAGAATTACAGTCACTAAACAAATCATAAGTGTGGCAAAGATCATGAACTACTAAATCAGATGATTTAGGGGAGATCCACTTGAGTTTAAGGAAGATGGCACTACTGAGTGTTTTATGACCACCTCTCACGACTCCAACAGCTCTGCACAGATGACCCACTGAATCAGATGATTTCGTGCAGCGGCGGATCCACAGTGTAAGAAGGGGGGGGGGGGGGTCCATGGACCCCACTTAAAAATTCATTCAAACCTCTATTTTACTAAGTCAGTCCTTAAAAAATTCATATTTTGCTAAAATTTTCCCTTTTGGCACCCACTTTTGCTGAAAAAAACTATTTTGTAATATTTTTTACAAAAAAACTCCCAAAAAGTCTCAAAATTTCTGATTTTTTCTAGTTTCAAAAGTTTGTTTCATTTTTTATATAAGATGGACCCCACTAATATTTTTTTCTGGATCCGCCACTGATTCCGTGACAGTTTTGTAGATTCGTCAGCGTAGGTGACGGAGATCCAAAACATAAATCCTGAAATCAAAATCAATACTGAGATCGATGCTGACATCCACTAAACATAAAGAAACAAACCTCCGGAAACCACCCATTCATCTTGCACACTTCATATGTTATGTTACTAATATGGGGAGAAAAGAACAGAGAAACACAAAGCACACGCCTTATGTGTGTGTGCTAGTGCGATGCTGAGGGGAAAGACGGAAGGACCATCGTTTTTTGAACTGCAATAGAACGTTGTAGATCTACAATCCTCTGAGAAACCCTAGCGGCCTAGGGAAAAATCATCTGCGCAACAAAAACACTAGATCGTGTTGGAAATCGACAGTAACTTGTTCTTGGTGGGAATCAACTATATTTTGCCGAAAACCTTATGCTTTAGCAAAAACCATACCTGGAAATTGACATCAGCCTAGATAATCTGAGATGTAAGAGAGAAACGTTGTTCTGAGAGAAGGGAGAAACAAAGTAGGTAGTCGGAAGTGAAGATGAGACATATCTTTTTAAGAGCGGCTAGATCATCTGACAAGTTTGGATGGTAAAAGAAGGAGACAAATTGTGATGGATGAGAGGCAGAGATAGAGTAGCGATGGCTGGTGGTTTTCGGTTGACTAGCGATTTCTAGTGGTGTTATTGTGTTTATGTGTTATGTGTTTGTTGTACTTTTCGATCAGTATTAGATTAAGGGGTATATCGGGTTGGCAAAGTATAAGAATAAAACTTTAAAAAAATTGAAAAAAAAAACATATGGGTATTATGGTCATTTCAATTCTGACACGGACTAAGTTCGCAAGAAAATCGTTTTTCGGGGATGAAACATGCAACATTGTACCAAACGAGGGGCAGTCTGAGTTAATTTTTGAAAATAAGGACTAAACGTTTTGACACCTACATGGGGGACGATTCGTATAATTTAGTCTAAAAATTATTTTCAGATAAAATAACTTATTGATGGGTAGGAAATTAAGTTTATAAAAAAAGTGTTTAGATTAGTTTTATGGTAGGGAAAAAATAACTTAATAAATTGTTTTTTTTAAATGTTTGTCTTAACTTTAAGGTATTTTAAGACGATACAGATTTTTACAACTCAAAAAGTCATACGGAATTTTGAAAAGTTAAAAATTCTAACTTCTTAAAAACTCATTTTTGAAGGGTTAAGGAGAAGTTGTTTTAAAATTTGTTTTCTTTTTGCCATTTGTTTTTTGACATATTGATTTTTCAAAAAGTCAATAAGTTGTTTTGAGATGAAATCACAAACACCCTCTTAGGGGTGTTAGGAAAAATGTTTAGGTTGCATTTGGTTGACAGAAAATGAATGTAATTCGAAGCAAAAGGATTTCAATTCTTTCGAATTCATGCGTTTGGTTGGACTTAAAAGGAAGGAAAATGATTCTTAAATGAAAAACTTTCCCTGAAATTGTGGAAAATACATTCCTTCAACTAGTTGATGGAATCAATTCCTTACCAATAAAGAAAAATAAAACATTACCATTTTGCCCCTTTTATTTTTAACAAAATATAGACAAAACTGCAAAAATGGTTCTTGTGGTATGCATTTTTCTGAGATTTAGTCCAAACCTCGACATTTTTGGCTTCATAGTCATTTTGAGCTAGTTTCGTTGCAGATTTGGTCCCCAGTAAATTGAAATGGCTGTAATACCCTTGGGTTATTTGTTTTCTATTTTTCTTTTATTTTTTTAAATCTAATATTTATTTATTTAAACAATTAAAAAATAAAAAGGCCACATCTCTTTTTCTTTCTTTCTTTCTTTCTTTCTTTCTCTCTCTCTCTCTCTCTCTCTCTCTATATATATATATATATATATATATATATATATATATATATATATATATATATATGTGTGTGTGTGTGTGTGTGTGTGTGTAGTAGACACAAGAACAAAATTAACATCACTCACCTCCATTGTTCTCTTCTTCACTTTACCTATAATTCTTTTTTGTCTTAATCAGCCAGATTAGTAGATATCACATTTAAAAGTTCCACTTCTCATAAGCTCAAATAAATATACATATTCCACTGTCTTAATTTCTACCTTAATCTAAATATCGTCAGATGAGATGAACTAACTAAATTCCTTATGGGGTTCTTCATAAATCCATCAGCCAATCACACATCCAACCTGGTTGTTATTTCTTCTGATTCTTCCTCTCTACAATCGACCCAATGAAATCAAAATCCACTAACAAAATATGAACAATTGATCGATACAAAACGATGCTTAAATTCGATCCATACAAAATTGCTCAAATCTAATAAGAAAAAACACAAGCAAAATCAAAATTTGCATTTGGGTTTAAAGTCTCCCTACTGGAAGGTCTGAATGTCGATATATCCAATATGATCTTCAGCTTTCCTCATCTAACTCATTCCAACAAATAAATTATTCCCAATCACCCCCGAAAAGTTGTAACCCTTACACACTTAGATGATTTGCAGCGGGAATCATGGAGGGATCAACGAGTGTTTACAGAGACAGATCTTCATGAGTTGTTGATCTCCAATGTATACATGAGAAGAAAACACACATCATATGTGTGTAGCTCACGTCTGCTCTAGTTTGTAGATTTTTTCTTCGTTTTATCCATGGCACAATTCGATGCAGCAATTGAAACCCAAAAACCTGATTCACCCCATGTACAAACCAGTGTTCTCACCCATATATTTTTTTTGGTTGTCGGAGGTGATAGGTGATCGATTGAATGTCATCAGGTAGAAGGGAGGGGGGGGGGACGTATGGTGGTACGGATTTTTAAAGGAAAAATTGAAAGGGAAGTACCCACCAGCCATGCTCTTCGCGGGGGGTGTCACACCCCAAACCAAGGATGGAGGAAACATCCGGGGGTGGAGGATTTCATGTATAGTATCATAACAACAATTGTCATAGTGATTAAAGTAAACACAACCAACATATATATAATTGAAAGAGTTACATCATTGTGTGAATTACATGTTTCCAAATCAATTACAATATGTTGACAAAAATGTAAAATGTTTGATGCCTTAACGTCCTATCCTCAAAAGCACTTGGTTACCTGTTTAGTGATTTCCTGAGAATACAAGTTGTTTGAAAAAGGTGTCAACACAAAGGTTGGTGAGTTCATAAGTTTTTATATGCAATTATGAAAACCTTTTCTTGTAAAAATAGTGTCCATTCCAGAAAATCCAATATTTTCCTTAATGTGTAAATGTAGTCTTAAAACCCAAAGGCCGGAATGTACAAATAATTTGTCATATTTATAGTAAAACAATGCAAGTTTAAATCGACATAAACTCGTTTGATTTCAATGAAATCCCCGTAAATTCTATGTTTTTTAATACTTAATGTGAGTTATTATAACCATACTATGACCTAGTTGGCCTGAAACGACGTTCTTCATACGTTGGAAATGTTATGACATTTGTCACCTCCGACCTGCCGGTCTA